TGATCATTAATCCTCCAAACAAGTTTTAAAATATGTAATTTGATTACTTTTACACAAGCCTTAAAATATTCTGAAAAATGTGAAGCCATGGAGAAGAAAAGGGAGTCAAATTTCTGTAAAATTCCCAACATAGTTATTTCTTTCATTTCTTATTAAAATTACTGTAATGATATACCTTTACTAATGGATATTCAGGGATGTTTCAAGTCATACTTTGTTTCCTAACATATGACTGAGTGGGGAAAACACACACATATTTTTATTTTCTTCAAAGTTCATTTTTTCCTAAGTCTCCTTAAGAATCAACAGTTTTTCCCCAGGTCTTCAAATTTCCAGAAATTTTATTTCTGAGAGTGAGAATTATGCTTTAGAACAGTCTTAGAATGCTTTATTAATGTTTGATTAAGTCTAATTTAGCAGTCAAGCTCCATTTGTGGGTGAGAGCATGTAGGGACAATGAAAACAGTATTAACTGAAAGGCATTGGAGGGACCAGTATTTATGACAGAAGTAGCGTCTTGGATGCCTTAAGAATAATTTGTTTAATTATTTTAATTCTTTTTTTTTGTTTTGAAACATTGTCTGGTACTAAAGGTTTTAACCCTGGTTCAGAGGGAGACTGGGACTCAGGAGATCTGGGTTCTAGCCCCCACTTAGCCATGGAGCTCACTGGGTGACTTTGGACCAGTCACAGACTCTCAGCCCAACCTGCTACAACAACAGGATTGTTGTTGGTGTTGCTGTAAGAATATGACTGAGAAGAGAATTATGTAAGTAACTTTCAGTTCCTTGATAGGAAAAAAGTGTGATATAAAAATAACCAATGATTCCAGGGAGCCAACTGCCTAAAATTAATACGTAGCAAGAGAGTTTTTGAACCTCTTGGAGTGATAGAGAAATTGCACTAATAAAGTTAATCACCATCATGGGGTTAGGGTTGTAAGAATATGACCGCAAAGAGGAGAATTATGTAAGTAACTTTGAGTTCCTTGATAGGAAAAAAAGTGGGATATAAAAATAACCCATGATTCCAGGGAGCCAGCTGACTGCTTAAAAATTAATGTGTATCAATATAAGTTTTCAAACATCTTGGAGTGATAGAGAAATTGCACTAATAAAGTTAATCACCATCATGAGGTATTGTTTGATCCAGGTTAAACTAGGTGAAATAAACTTTCTAATCTGATCACCAAAGTATGACACATAGCTTGAGATCTGCAAAAGGGATCAAAGTTCTTTTTACAGGAAAATTAACACAAATGTGAAATCTAAGACATCAATATGTTGTTTCTTAAATATTTATGTGCCAAAATTCAGATTACATCGGCATGAGAGAGAGAACTGCAATCACCCAAGCAACTGAATTTACCAGAGCAACAAGAAGAGAAATGCCATTATAGAACAGTTCTAGAAAAGGAGCCAAGAAAAACCTCTTCCAGCTGGACTGAGTCTTAATGATTTTATTTGAAACAGAGATTTCAAAAGAAGATTGGTAAAAGCAGACACAATATTTTCGGCAGGCTTCCTGCTGTTACACATATCCTCATCAAGGTACTTTTAGTAAGCATGAAGAACCCCAGGGTTTCTAGAATTTATTTGTAAGCAGCCGACACACACACAATACAAAATTGCTAGTTGCTGAGCCACAGAGATCCCACTGATCAGGGGCACATTTCAAGAATAAAGCAAAATGGTTTTTTCCCATAGTCCAAGGGGGGAAAAAAGCCAAGGGCCTCCCTACCAGAAAGTAATTGCTCCATCATCATTTGAGATGAGCATGCGTAGCCCCTACCTATGCTCAACTGAAAGGATTCCAGCAGTCCATAGGCATACATTCTTCATATAGCATGCTAACTGGCTGCATTTCACGGCTGCATTTCACACAACTGTTGCTCATGTCTCCCTACTTATACAAATCAGTATCTCTGCTCCAGAAGTTCACCATTAATATAGATCTTTTCCCAACTTCTTGCCCTTCTCCACTTCGGCTGCAGTGTTTGGGTTTGTGATGACATTATCTGAAGTTTTGGGATCAAGGAATACCAAAATGAGAAAGAAATATTTGCACAAGCAGAGAATATGCCAAGGCCTTTTTGCTTGCAGTATTTGCTAACAGAAATGAATTGTTTCTCAGTTCATGTTGCTGAGCAGAGAATTAAAAAAAGAGAAACAGATCACATATTTTTCACTTCTATACACTAAAGGAGGCTCTTGCTAACCCAATGCTGAGCAGGGAGAACACCAGAGGTGATATTCGCCTTGCCATTCTTCCTGTTCTGCATTTCCACAGATGGCTGCCCTGGGCATTTTGAAAGAGGAAGGAAAGAGGCTGAAGCAGCTTCAGGATGGCTCATCTCCTGACGGCACCAATTTCCTCCCTTTGCCTGAAACATTCACCCTCTTCAAGACTGCTTTCATGACTGCAGGGAGAAACCAGTAGTTTTTTCTATACTGGCTGTGAGGGAGGGGAGACAGCAGCATTTGTTCTGCCTCAGAGCTGGGAATCCAAGCTATCCTGTGATCCAAGGATCATGTTTAGATGCCAGAGGATTGTTCCCTATGAGTACCTCCTTAGATAGCTTAGAAATGATTACTTCAGTACACTTAAAAAACCAACAACAACCTACAACAGCAACCCTTAAGATAATAGCACTCATGCAGGCATTTGCTACCAGTAAAGACTTCAAAGAAAAAAAAAATCAGGTCTCAACATGTCTTTAAAAACTTTTCACCATGGGGAATTTCATGGATTTCAAAAGGAAGCTGAACATTTCCTCACATTTTCTTTCTAAAACAGCATAAGCAATAAATAGTATATTAATACATGAAATGCCCAGTGTCAGTGAAAAGTATAACCAAATTAGCTGTGTTTGGAATGGGGTGGAGGGATCTGTGTGGGGAGAACCAAAGGACAAAAATCTGCATTTCCAAGAGGTTGTTCTGAAGGAGGCTATATGGAAACAGACATGGTGTGGCAGACACTCAAATTCCACCCAATGGAGGCTTATTCTGCATAGTAAGCCATTTGTTACCTTTGTGTGTCTCTCCCCTCCCATTATCTTCATGGCCATCAAAATGGACTTTGGAGCAGAACCTTTGTTTTTTGTTTTTTTTAGTCTTACTCGGTAAAGTATCATGTGTATCATGATGGAACAACGTAACAATAGGGAAGAAGTATGAATATTATAGTACTTGCAGGTATATGCAAGTCTAGTCTCCAAAGCAACAGGACTTTTTTTTAAATGTCTACCTTTTCAGCTTATTTTTTGGTTCACATATCCAAACATTTGCAAGCATTACATACTCAGCATATGTGCAGAGGGCAGGTTTTGTTTTTTTTTTAATGGTTTTCTGCTTGACACATTCCTCAGCAATTTATTGGTAGTTTAACATCTAAAAATTATTTCCACGCCACTGCTGAAATTCTCTAAAAAGGAAAAGGCACACCTGTCATCTCATCTTGTTTAGCCTTGAGCATAGGATGCCTGACCTTGGTTTGGCAATAAAACAGTGGTCTGGAATTGTAAGCCAAAATCTTGCACCATAAAGACAAGGTATCAGGGGGATCACAGAATCCCAGGCTCAACCCTTTCAGCCTCCTTCCCCATGGAAGGGGGACATTCTTCCTAAGCACAAGAGGCAAATGTGAAAGTCTTAGCATTCTGATCCTCAGTGTTGCTGTCCTGGCAGAAACAGTGTTAAATGCCCTAAGAATGCTCTCCTTAATTTTTTTTTTTTTTTGGGAGGGGAGGTGGGAATTGCTTTTTTTAAACATCAGCATTAAGGATTGTAAACCTGGCTCTTCCTGGGAGTCAGCTGATTGCGTAGAAAATATTTAGCAATATAGTTTTTCGAACAAAATGAAACTGCAGTACTAAATGAACCAGACTATCATGGTAATATATTCAATCAGGTAAAACAATGTGAAATTAACTCTCTGAATATTACATGCCTGCACAGCTCAGAATGCGGAAATAAAAGACCAGCAGGGACAAAAAAATCCTATTTGAACTGCCTGCCTTGGATGGCACAAGCAGGAATATTTTAAAGCACTAAGCTACCATCAAGACTGATGGCCCGCAGACAACTTAGTGGCTTGTACTGCAAGTTTTTAAAAGAAGCATGATACGTAGTTATTTCTTTTAACCAAGACAGTCTGGGCAAGCTTATTATATAATCATTCCCACTCAATGAAGCAACCCACCCCAACCTATTCCTACCACTAGGCTTCCTATATTGTAAGTCAGTCCTAGTGCTGATCTAAACATCATACAAGCAAGCAAGCAAGCAAGCAAGCAAGCAAGCAAGCAAGCAAGCAAACAATTCCCTTAACATATGGCTGCCAATTAATACTACTACAGGAAAAGCAAAAGCTTTCCAAGGCAGTTTTCTCTACAACTGATTTTCTTCTAGATTGTGAACCCAGCAGGAAGAAATATTTTACAATATGGCTGGAGGGAAACAACTGAGGGAGAAAAGGTTAAGAACCTCTTCCTAACTGGTGATTCTCTTCTGCGAATGCCTCTCTTTGTTACTAAAAACCCCATGTATCACTGTGTATCTTACGTCTTAGCAAAGGTGTCAAACTAGATTATGACAAATGAATTCTGCAAAAAAATGAAAGCATGAATTCTATTTTTGAACCAGCTCATTTTTGTCTATTTGTGTCAACTTTCAAACTCCATTTAATGCACCATCTTCTTGCATGTTTCAGTTACTGACAACCATTATCAAGGTGAAAGTGTCTCCTTTCATTTGGCAAGTTCAGCAGCTTTCCTTTTCTAGCCAGTGTTTGGAGGGCTGACCTCAGTTTTCCACAAATGATGTTTTGTACTTTTAACCTATATTAATACTGATAGTTTTCCAAAATACAGTTTCACTGCCTAAATATGAAATCCACTGTAATATTAAACCATTCCTCACTATGCATAAATGATAGTGCTTAGGCACAATCAATCCATCATCCTACACACCTGTTTAAAATGAAAGAAATAGTCTTACCTAGTATGAAGGCCACAACGTAGTTCGAGATCTGTCCCATGCCAACTATAACAAAAAGTACTGTGAACATTTCCCAGTTGGTTGAGAAGACCTGCAGGAAGCTGAAACCTGTCTGCACACCCATGGTTGCAAATAGAACAGCTTTTCTGCCAAACCTTTCAGGAAAAAGAAAAAGAAAGTAGAATACTGTCAATGGATCCACAACAGAATTATTTCAGGGTGATAATGAAGCCAAGACTAGGCAGGGGCAACCAGTTCATGGAAAAGATGTTTCTCCTACAAGCAGAGGTTGCTGCCCACTGTGTCACATCTGTGCCTATAGAACCTTGAATTTCAATTCAATTTGAATATTATTATATCCATTAGAATAAAAGGCAGGAATCTATATAGAAGCATATCACAAGTGCATGTTGGCCACCCATGTTATAAGCCGCATTAGCAGCAGCCATTTGAGGCATGCCTGGTTCAGAGCACAGGGGCACACATGCCCACTTGCTTCATTGCTTTCTTCTTCCCAGGTAATTTTCTTAAAGGCAAAGGTACCCCAAGAGAGCTTGATACATTTTTATGTAGACCATTTTGAGATTTTATAATAATCAGATGGTATATAAGAACTTTAAAATAAAAAAAGACATACATACATCCTATTGCATGAGGTAACTAAAATGCTGACTGCTTTGTTTGTTTGTATATTTATTTAAAACATTTCTATGCCGCCCCCATTGCAACAAAGCCTCAGGGCGGCTCACAACATCCAAAATAAACATAAAAATACAGTCAAATCATTATAATGCACATCTAGTACTAGCAAGTCACAGATGCAAACTGATGATAAGATTGCAGCAAAAGGCAGTACAGTTACAGATGAAGAAACTCTGCTTAAAACTGTAAATGTATTTATACCGTTGGATCACTGAAAATTCAGTAAGGCAGAGATAAAATTCGATAGTTTTCCGCAGTGCTACTTAGGAAATGCAATTGGATAATGACAATTAGAAAACAGATATCAGTAGTTATAATGTTATTATATATTATCAGCTTGTATTTGCAAAGTGAAACCTCTGAAAATTAGCCAGCAAAAAATCCTTTGCCCTGCTTGGCAACATATTTAACTGAACACTTGGTGGCAGCATGTCATGCTTATTATTTATGCAATTGGTTTTCTCTTGGTAAGCGAAGCAGAAAGGCGCTCAATAAGGCAATCTTCGGGTTACTAACTAGAACATGAATGGCATATGACAGTAGCACACATGAATCTGTTTGGCGTTTTCACAGCAGATCAGAAGCCACATGATTGCCCTTTACCAACAACTTAAGGAGCTAACTAAACAATGTGGAAAGTATCCAGTCATGCAATAATGTTATGCAAGACACACTGCACTCATTTAAGGGACTTCTGGCACAAACAATAGCAATAACCTGTGCAGCGGAATTTCCCAGGAGCTGTGCTAGAGGTTCTTAGGCTAGTGCAGTGCAGTTTATATTGTGGCAATGACACTGTTGAATTCCATCCTAAGTGCAAATATGCAGGGAGGAAGGGGTCACAATATTAATTTTATAGCCCAACAGAAAAAGATAAAGTTTATGTTCAAGCTCACACTTTCATAATTTAGAACAAAACAAAACGCTTCCTAACAAAATGGCTGAGGTCGGGTTATATGTAGCTTGTCTGCTGTATTCTGTCCTCAAATTATATCACAGATTTTAAGAACCTTGTATTTACAATTTATCACACTTAGCACAATTTCCTTTTTTAATCTGCTTGCATTAGTTTATTTTTATTCATTTCCTTCTCCTGTGGAACTATGTATGCTTCACACACTGCTACATAACTACCTGCTCATGTAAGTGTAGGATGCAGCAGCAGGACCCCTATCAGTTGTCTCAGTTACCACAGTGTCACTTAACCAAGGAAGACCGTCAGCCTTTCATATTTGTTGGGATTTGGAGTACAGGATCCCCACAAAAGTGGAAAAACCACAAATATCTCTCACTCTGTCTGGGGACACCATGATTGTTGTCTCGGTACTAGTCAGCTTCACTCACGTGTTTTGTCTCTCATGGGTACAAAGACTCTAAAGAGATTCGTGTTTTTTCCACTTCCGCAGGGCTCTTGAGGACATAAACTGCATGAATATAGTATTTGTCACCATCTGCCATTTCAGGCATTCACTGGGGGTCAAGAACCTTGGTCCTGCAGTATTATTTCACTGAGGCATACTCAAACGAGTGCAAAACATAAAGTGATAATTCAATCTGACACTGTCTCTTAAAGCCTGCTGCTGTAGTATTCAGAAAGCATGTCTGATTTTGGTTCTGATTAGAGTTGGGATTCATGCTGAAAGTCTATATTGTTCTACTTCTCCAAACTGTAACACAAAACAAAAAAGCAAAGCAAAATTCTAGGGTAGCTGAATGCATTTACTTTACCTGTCTGAGAGCTGTCCTGATATAAAGGATCCAAGAAGCACACCCACAAAGAACAAAGATGTAGTTAAGGGGGTTTTCCAGTCATCATCACATACCAAATTCCACTATAAGAGAAACACAAGCAAATTCCATGTCAGTTTGCAATTACTTAGGGTACAAACAAATTAGATAGTAGCTATACTGATGGAGTCTGAATTCTGGAGTCTGGTGACTAACACGGAACAAGATCTTTGGAAAGTGGGGAAGAGATAAATGAAAAGAACCATTGAGCAAGCAAGCTCACATGTTTACAGAGGGAAAATAAACCATAGAGGAACTCAAAAAAAAAAAAAAAAGGCTCTGGGTTTTAGGGTGGTCTGTAAGGAACCCTAGCCAGCCACCCTCCCTCACCAGGTTCAGACATTGTAACAGCTCATGATTGGAAAGTGTAAGTGTGTTAATTAGGCAACTCACAGTTGAAATGCACAGGGAGACAATTTAGCAATTTTTTTCTCCATGATCATATAAATTGAGTCAATGTGCAGCAACTGAAATTATCAGGGAATTTTTTTTAAAGCTTAGAATCAACAAATAAGTGGGGATCACAAAGAAGGATTAAAACATTGTCAGAGAGAAAGCAAATGAAGGAATATTTCTTTCAGTTTCATCCAGTCAGGGATGGGGGAGAATTTGTTTGGCCTGCATTTTTAAGTAAACTGACCTGATTTACTTTTCTCAGATTTATATGCAAATTAGAATACAGATATCCTTCAGATAATATATCCCCCAAATTTTACAATGCAGTCTTTAGATCAAAATTGTGTACAAAAGTGATTTACTGAACCCAGCTCTGCAATTTTAATGCATTTTCAAAGTAGTTATAATTAAATGCAACTCTGACACAAACTGGAAATAGATTCTCCATTCCTAATTCCAAATCTAGTATCACAAGCAGGAGAAGAAATGGACTGCTAACAGATTTAGTACAGACAAAAATATTTTTCCCACAGTACAAAATTAACTTATAAAACTTACTGCCATAAGTGGCAATACTAACTGTCAGCTTATTTGCTATTAAAAGAGGATTTTGAAGGCATTAAGAAGCTCAGGCTGAGCTGGGAAAGAGGTAATCCTGCTAGTGACCATAAATTTTTGCTTTCTATTAAGGCTGCCGAATCTGTGATTATCTCTTGTATGCATATATGTAGGTACATTTAATATATGCCTTTCTCTTCCTTGTTCATGCATGCTGCTACTTGTGCAATGCAACTGTGGTTTTATGACCCATCTGTTGAAGACTAATAGCTTGGAGCAAATCAGTGTTGATGTTCCTGGGCTCTGCCTTACCATTTATCTTCTGCCAGTTAGTCTACTTTGATAAACATCACTTAAAGGTTTAAAAGTAATTAGCTCTGTATTGCAAATAACTTGCCTGTGTGTATGGAGTTCACACGCATCTACTGAATATAAGATCATTTTTTTCATAATTCTAGGCCAAATAAGGTTAAGAAGAAAGTCAAAAAAGCACAGAAATGTCAGCAGCTAGATCTGACTCATGCAAAGCTTGGGCTACATTTCTGTAAGTTCTGCATCAGTTACACAGGTGGAAATAATCATCTGAATGTCCACTCAGTTGCAACAGAATCGAAACTAACAACTCATTTCTACTTTTTCCTATTTGGACACTTCAACACCTTCTAATTGATTTAAGGAAAATACTGAAGAAAGTGGGAACCATAGGGAAAAATGAACTTTTCAGAGTTTTTTTTCTCCCTGAAGAATGACTGAAATAAAACACAACCCCTAAATAATTTTAAGAATAAGTAATGTCATGGGGAAACATTTACCTTTACATCATATTCTAGTGCCATAGTATCTATTAAAGAATTCTGAGGGGAGGCAGTGATGTAGGGTTTCCAGAAAATTTTAAGCTGGACAATTTTGAGGAACTGGATTAATTTGCAGAGGGTTATTTGCATAAGAACAGTTTTAGTTCACCGTAGAAAATCAGGGGAGCCCCTCCAGAGGTTTGATGAGCTGAGACCCCACTCAGAAAATTTGCTTCTCTGATAGACGACCTCCATCTACTCTATCTAGCCACCAAACCAACAGAATGGAACACCATTCAGAACGAGGACAATACACTTCGATCTCAAGAACCTCTCCCCAGCTTGTTCCCTGCCAGCTTCTTTCCCACAGTCAGGAAGGAGGAGGACCTCTGTGGTTGTCCTTGAAGTGCTTTGATCTAGGGCTGGCTCAATGGGAGAGTTTGGGCAGCCAGGGCCTCGCCAGTCTCAGCAACTCCAATATCAGAGTGAGAACTCTGAGCCATGGTGGGTTCAGCTACCCACTCCCCCCCGCTCCGAGTCTGAGCCATCATTCCCACCAGAGCCATCCATATCTCCTGCATGCCTGGAAAACTCATCCGAGCGCACGCACACGACACCCTCCTGGATGAAATCTCCTCCTCATTTCACAAGGGAGCTATAGAATTCACACCACCTAAAACCCCTGGGTTTTATTCCAGCTATTTTACAGTCCCTAAAAAGGATGGATTGTCCTATCCTGGACCTCTACTCCCTCAATAAACATATCTGACCCAAATGTTTCAGGATAGTCTCTCTACAATCCATCCTAGGTTTGGGCACTCTTAATGCTCCCCTTCTCTTTGCTAAGGGTGAGTGATTTAGATGGTTTCGTCTTCTTATCTGTCTTTTCCCATTTGACCACTTTAAGAATTTTTGCAGGCAGGAAAGCCAGCATCATGTCCATGGTTGGGGGAGGAGGCAGCTCCAAAGCTCAGCTTTCAGTTGGTCAGCTCCATGTTTTCTTGCCTGCTTCTGAAAGCTTGGCAATGATAGTAAGAATCGATGGCATGATTCCAAGCAAAACAGGCAAAGAGAATGGCCGTCTGTAGGAGGGAGTTTGTTGCTGCACATAGTACAACTGTGAAACTGAGCCTTGAGCACCATTTTGTCTCTCTGACAAAGCGTAATGAAGAACAGGGCTTAGTGGTTATACCAGCTAGAACTCTTATCCTCGAAGTTTGTTTGTTTGTTTATTGCTTAAAACAGAACAATATAGAATGAAAGGAAAAGGAATACACCCGTGAACAGGCAAGAAGTTGTCAGAAATGAACAAATTGTGAGGTAAGTGGGAGAAGAACTTCCTGATGCGCTCAAGATGGCGGTCGAAGAAGAGCTGAGGTCTCGGCAGGAGCCTCACCCTCACACTAGTCACATTTGTGGCTGTAGTCCTGCCAAATACTAAATCAGCTTTGGAATCTTCCTGAAAACTGCTCCGTGCATGCGCAAAGAGCCCATATGTGTGGTAAGCCTAAACGGGGGTGGGGGGTGGGGAGTTTACAGGGGAAGAACTGATTAAATGCAGTGAGAGCTGAGCAATTACTATCCCTGCCTGCTGATTCTGCCCTAAAATCCTTTGCTACAGTATTTCTTCAGCAAACCTGGCATTGTCAAGTAAGTAGAACTTAGTTTGTTTCTTAAGCAGCTTACAAAGGGATAAAATGCTTCACTAAAATATCAAAGCAGGATTTAAACAATTAACAGTCCAATAAAACACAGAAACATTAAACAGACATTAAAAGCCTAGCAGACAGGATAAACCTTAAAAGCTAAGAGCAGGCACTATAATGACACAGTTGTGGGGGGGGGGGGTGAGAGCTGATTTTTAATTAATTTTAGGTGCTGTGTTCAAGCCTGATAATCTGGCTGCTACATTTTACACAATGGAAGCTTCCAAACAATATTTAAAGACAGTGTTATGCAGGAAACATTGCAGTAGACAAGTCTCTATATAACCAGTAGTCAAGCCCGTATATGACTTTGGATTCCTCTTCTCCAGAAACAGCAAACTACTCAGAATGGAGAAAAGTGCTCCTTTCTAACTGCCAGCGGTTGCACATCCAGAGAAAGCAATGGATCAAGGGAGAACCTTTAAGCCTTGCACCTGCTACTTCCTAGGGAGTGCAGCCTCATCCAAAATAAGTTGAATCTTGTCCCTTGGACTGCTGGGAACTTTTGGTCGATATTATATCCATCTTGTCCAAATTATGTTTGTTAGTTCACCACCAATCACTCCTGAGCCAACATCTGGCACTGGCTGATTGCTGAAGAAACAAGAATGATCACAGTTCCCATCCAGATTTCCTGGCCTTGAGAATATCTTTTCATCAACATACGATGTTAGAATTTTGAAAATTAACCAGATGGTTGAAAAAATGCCTGCCATTGTCTAAACTGGGTGTGTGGGAACTTGAATCTTACAGATACATATTTTTTTTAAAAAGAATAAATTCTGTCCTCATATTTTCAAGGATTATTGGTCCTGTTTATGCATTAAGTTTACATGACTGAAATATAAAACACAATTAGTTTAAGCAGCAGTGGTCTGAAAATAAAGCTAGGCTCCTTGGCCACTTTAGTCATTTTCAAAGCAGTGAATGTTTCAACCATGTACATGATGGGTTTTGCACATTTTTAAGGGTAGATTAGATCTGAAGATTATGAAAGTAGGTCAGAAGTGTTAGGCAATGTTAGAAGGCAAATAAAACATACATTTCCTGGCTTCAAGTGCTCTATTCAAATATAGTCTAAACACAATGTGTTTACTCAGTGGTAAGCACTGCCTATTACTAGAAGGCAAATTTAATATGATCAGAGTGATCTAACTGCCCACAAAGCGTGTTATAACTACACAAATCTAAGTGATATTATTTGCATCCTTATTATAGCACATACCTACTTCAGTCACCAAATGGAGTGTAGATTTGTTACCAAATATAAAATATGCCTCTAAAAATCTAGAATTTTACTTTCCACATTATAAATACACAAAAGTTTATGTAGAACACAAACACAAAAGTAGAAATGTTTTAATAAATAAATAAATAAATAAATGTTAGGCTGGGGCATCTTTTCAGCACAATAAAAAGGCCAGCAGTTGATCAAGGCCAGTCACTGTTCTAATTACATACCTTTGGTAGTTTACAAAGAAAGAATACTCAGTTTTTTGCCTGCTTGCTCCAAGTCTTATTTTGTAAAATTAGGACATAAGCTGAATTCACTTACATGTCTTAGAAACTATAAACTGCCAAATTAATGCC